TCTTGCTCTAGGGAAAAAGAGCACAACCCTTCCCATAGGTGGGACCTCTTCATCAGATGATGATCCCTTATCTCTCAGCAGCTGCTCTCTGCAGTGGTGGGTGAAGGTCCTGTGCTCTAGCCCTAGGGCAAGCTCTTCACCTCCCAAGAGGGCTGGTTGCCATGCTTGTGGAGAGCTTGGACAGTGGTTTCCCCTTCTCATGTGTACTTTTAGGGTCACTACATTCATCTGCCTCACTGAGCTGTGTCGGGGTTAATGAATTACTGTTTATACGGCTCTTTGAAGATGAAAAGTGTGATGGAAGGGCTCTGTTATTGTTACCATGTATGAAGAGTTCTGTACCAAATCCAACCGTATTGTGTTTGGCCACTGGATGTCACAGCTGCTCAACACACAATGCAGCTGAAGCAAGAAGGGAAAAGTGCTTACCCAGCACTGGGCAACAGCTGCATTTCCAGAGCCGTTATTTTTTCTGTGAAGAGTGTTTGTTTGTTGAGGGGCTTGGGGTCTTCTCCTGTGTTTATGCACTGCTAATATTGATTTTCAGAGAGATTGAGCAGCAACTGTGCCTCCTCTGTGTGTTATTACACTGGGAGATCAGGAGCAAAATGACTATTTTTATGGAAGGGAGGTGCAGATATGTATAAAATATTAATGAGACAGTGTCTGAGAAGGTAGACAGGTATTTGCACATCCTGCCAAGCTGTCTTGTCATTGAATTATTCCTTCTTTAACCCACTACCATCCAGTACACAGCACAGAGCCCTGCTATGGCAGAAAAATTTCTCCCAGGCTGGCTCTCAACAGCACTCCTTCAATCACCACGTTCAGGCCATGTTCTTGTGTGCCTCACACTAAATGCAGAGGGAAGATTGACCTCCCCTCTCCTAATCTTCCCTTCACATTTTGCATTTTTTCAAAGTCTCAAACAGGGATCCAGAACATGGAGTCACTTTCGGCAAAGTCTGCAGAGCAGACCTATATAGATATGACAAGCACTGTGATTACATTTCCTGGAAATTAAAATGAAGAGGGATTATTTGACCGTGTTCTCCTCTTTTTATAGCATCCCATTGTCCTTTTCACCACCTTGGGGAAGTGGTGAGTGAAAGGCTGCTCATGGTGGTGTGGCAGTGAGGTGATAACCACCCCAGAAGTGATGTGAACATTAAAGAGGGAAAAGTATTTTAGGATAATCCAAGGGCTATAGCTATAACTAAGAGTAATTGGCTGAAACTGAGAAAAAGAAAATTTAGGTTGACAGTGAACTGCAGGGAGTTAATGCTGAGATCTGTTAGACCATGAAATGGAATTTGCAGAGGAAACCTCCCTGCTTTAAAATGGGCAAATCCTGCCCTCGGGAACATCGGTGTAAACCTGCCGTGTCCATCTCTGACTGCCTCAAAGCCCGTTTGCATCACAAAGCGTCAGCAGAATCAACAAACATATCCGAATTTATGTCGGTAGAAGGTGAATTTAGCCAAGCACATCAAAATATCACGTAAGAGGAACGAGGCCTAAAGGGATCATGTGAACCGGAGAAATTAATTCCAACGCTTTTCTTCCTCTGACTTCTGTGATACCTGTATGTAGCTGAAGGCCAGGGGACAAAAAGGAAATAAAAAATTTAAAAAGCATGGGCAAAATTTAAAAGAAGTGAGGGCCAGTTTTGGAAGGAAGATGTAAAAACATTACAGGAATTGTTGAATAAAAGGATCTCATGTTTCAATCTGCGCAGCTATTGCCAGTTTTACTCATGGGTTTGAGCCTACCAGCCCTAGCTGCCTTTTGTCTTTTGCAAAACTCCTGTGTTCTCTGAACACTTTTATTCATCCAGCATGACTTCAGCCTTTTGTCTTTTGCAAAACTCCTGTGTTCTGTGAACAATTTATTCATCCAGCATGACTTCGGCAGAGAGAGCTCTGGTTGAAGAGGTTTTAGACTCACTAAAAACGAAATAGCCTGACTGAAGGCAATCTGTCCGTCTCATATCAAAAAGCCGGTTCCTGGTCAAATGTTTGCTGAACTTGGGAGTGATGC